TGTTGTTGTTGTTGTTGTTGTTGTTGTTGTTGTTGTTGTTGTTGTTGTTGTTGTTGGGGGCGCCGCCGATGAGAGAAAGAGTAGCGCGCCAGTCCAAAGTGAAACGGGAGGAAGTCCCGAGCGGTGGTGTTGGTTTTGTTGTGGAGTCTGGAGCGGGAGCGTTGTTGTTGTTTGGGGTCTGGTTTTGGCGACTCCCCAAACCGCTCGAGCGTGAGCCTCATTTTCAATGAAAATGTAGCCGGCGCCAAGGCGAGAGCTCCAAGGCGCCTGGGGGGGTGGTCAACAATCATACTTGCCAAGTAATTACATTCAACAACAGCGACAACAACAACGGCAATAACAACAACAGCCATCGCGCATTCGCAAACTCTGCCAAACATGACAACGCGGGCCCTCCCGCGCGGGCGCACGTCGTAGTCATTCCCACACCGCTGATTTCCCAAACATTTCAAAACACATCATGTGTTCGACGACATACGATCCAACGTAGTGGCGCTCCAATGCAATTTGTTAGCCTGCGCTGACCTTCAAAGAGTTATTGCGCTGTGGATATAATGTCAACGATGTGGTGTAAGCTGTGTGGTGTAAGCTATACTGTACGCAGTATACGTGGTGCAAGACGAGGCGGCCTCGAGGCGGCAACGAAAACCTTGCTGGACCCACCCAGCGCACGAAGCGGCCACGAGGCAGCCATGGCAAGGTGGCGAAACCTCACCGGACCCACCCAGCGCACAAGGAGGCCACGAGGCGGCCACGGGCGGCAATGTGGCAAATCCTCGCCGGACCCAGCCATTGCCTTAGTAAGAGAAGTAAGAACTCCTACTAAGTGCAAGCACTGTTTGGGAAGATGGCGAAGGCCTTACGGCCTGTGCCGCCGACCCTGAGATTGGGGAGGAGGGCGCTGAGCATGGGGATGAAGATGAAGAGGGGGACAGGAGGAGGAGGCGGATGAGGAGGAATAGGAGCACAGGGGGGGAATGAATAGGAGGAGAGTGAGGCGAGCAGTGTCGCGGGGGGGTCCGAAGGAAGGGCAGGGGCGAGTAGAGCGTGGCGATCATGAGGAGGAGAAGGAGGGGGATACTGGCGAGGATGTTGGACTGGGGCTGGGGCCGGTGCTGGGGCGTGGTAGAATGCCTCGGCTCTCATGAGGCTGTGCGTGGGCCCCGGGAACCCCAGGGGGGGAGTCGTATCTGACGCGGGACCCCCCCCCGGAACCCCCGGGACCCCCCCCCGGGGACTCCCCCCCGGCAGGAGGGATCAAAGGGAAGGGGCTCCCCTTCGGCTCAATGACAGCGTTGCTCTTGAGGGGGAGGCCCTGGAAAAGCGTGGGGGAGCGGCGACGGGCCCAGGGAAGAGGGGGAAAGGAGAGGAGGGGAGACGGGCGAAGGAAAGGGTGGGCGCAGGGACAGGAGACGATTGGACCAGGGAAAAGGGTGGGCGCAGGGACAGGAGAGACGACGGAGGCGACGACGAACGAACGACGGAACTGACAAGCCCCTCACACACGCCGACGCAGGGTCGGCGGATTTCTAAATTTCGGAGATCTTGAACGCGCGCACTGCCTCATCATCCTCATCAGCATGATCGTCGTCATCATCGCCGGCGTCGTCATTGCCATCGTATTCATCAGAACCATCGTCGGTAGTGTCATGAACATTCTTGCCATCATCGCCATCATTATCACCATCCTGGTCGTCGCAAATATCGTCGTTACCATCATCGCTCGCACGCCCGAGTCATGTACTGGTACGAGCAAGGTCAGCGCGTCATTCCGTCACTCGAAATTTGCGATAAAGCTCGGATGGGTACTTGCACTCACGGCCGAACTGAATTTTGCCAACACGTTGTGGTTCTATTCTTACGATCTGTACACAAGTTGTGTGCTGGCACGACTGCAAGTTCTCCATGTCCAATTGCACCATGTATAATGCACCGCGTAAGCTGCACCACATGAGTTGCGCCCCACATCGCTCACGAAGTAGATCGCGCTCAGTATATAGCACTACATTTGTGGCACTCTATAAGTTGCACCGCGACGGTTGTATTTCATGGGCTGCACAGTGTATGTTGGACCACTATCATTGCATTGCATAGATTCTCCCCCGCAGGTTGTACCCATAGCTCATTCCAAATAAACAGCTCCCACTACATAGATTGTATCTCGTAGTCTGGCCCGCAGACACCATTTGTAGCACAGCTTGCACCCCATCATTCCTAACTGATACTACCTAGCCAGTTGTTGCACCCGACCAGTTGCAACGAGTAAAGTACATATTGAGAACTTGTTTGCGGCCCACGTTGGCAAGCATGCTTAAGAAGTTGTCTCTCCTACTCCAGGCAGGGCCCTGTGTGACGTACCGAGGACATGCAGCCCCTGGAGGTAGCCCAGGTTCGCTTCATCAGGCCTCCGCTACGAGGCATCGGCGGCGAGCCCACGGGGGAAGTGAGAAGGGGCATGCCTGCTCAGACGGCTCGGAAGTCCCCCGGCCGTCTAAGAAGTGTTCTGGGCCTTCCCCGAAGTCACGGAACACGTCTCGGAAGGGCAGAGGGGATTCCTGAGAAGCCCCGCCGCCTTATGACAGGGCCTCCTTTTCCTTGTCATTCAGAAGACGATCCTGGGAGCCTCTTATTGTCATTTGGCCTGGCTTCCCTGCGCCTCCAGTGGTCTACAGTCGTTTGCTCGCGCCACTGGAGGCCACTGGGGGCTACGGGAGGCCACTGGAGGCCATTGCCATTGGAGGCCATTGGAGGCCGCGGGGGGGCCACTGGAGGAGACACTGGAGGCGGCTCTAGGCTTGCGGGGGGCCGCTATGGGTCCAATGGTGGCCATTGGAGGAGCTACTGCGGCCACTCATGTGATTATGAAAAGGCTCCCAGGAGCGTCTTCTGAACTCTCATTCTCACTTCCCCACCTCGCTCACCGCCGAGTCTCAGCACCAGGTCACCCCTTCTGTCGGCGACCCCCCGGGGGGAGTGCGGCGTCCCTGGGCCTGCGGCGTAGGGGGACCGCCCCAGGCCGCCCGCCCGGGCAGTGCCAAGGGGGATCACCACTGGCGGGGTCACCACCAGCTCCTCCGGGATTCGGCGACTCCGGGCGTGGTTACACCGGGGTGTGGTTGTCGGCGGCGAGCGAGGGGGGGAAATGAGAAGGAGAAGGCATTCTCAGACGGCGGCGGGACTTCACAGAAGCCCTCGCGCCATCCGACAAGCATTCTGCGTCTTCGGGGAAGGCTTAGAAACCTTCTCAGAACGCCGGAGGACTTCCGAGCCTTCTGAGAAGCCCCGCTCCATCTCACTCCCCCCCTCGCTCGTCGCCAAGTTACGCCGGGTGTGGTTTTCGATCGTCGCCGTCGGGGCCTGCGGGGCGCGGCGCTGTTCTCCTCGGGCCTCCCCTGGGCGCGGCGGAGAACTCTGTCGAGGTCCCCGCCCGCCCCACAGGGTGTCCTCCAGGGTGCCGGATGCAAGCCGCACCCTTCGCAAAGCATACGCTTCGGGTCGGGTTCCAGGATCGCAGCTCCTGGAGGCTTTGGGGGACCTTTGGGGCTGTTTGTGGCATGCTCTGGATTGTTTTTGGGTGCCCGCTTGCCGGAGGAAGCGGCGTCTCCTCGAGCAACCGTGGCGCCCCCCCCACTGGTGACCCCCCTTGGCATTGCACCTCGCGTAGGGGTCAATGGAGGCCAGCCCGGACAACGTACCTCTGGAGGCAGTCGGTGTCCTAGCACCCTGGCTCGGGCAGCGCGTGACCCCTATCATACAACTATGTGCGCGTCGCCTCCCCAGAGCGACGCGCGCACCGAGAAATCTAATGGTATGTGCGTCGTGGCGGGCTCATTCTGGCCACACCGCTCGGGAAACGATATACCACAAGATGGGTACACTACAGTCGGTCCGGATTAGTAGGTCGACCCTGCCAGCTCAAGAGTACCTTTGTGTTCTGTGCCTCGCGACACGTGCCTTCTTACACTCCAATGACGATGTGGCCTTCGGAAGGGTTTTGTGTCCTCTCGCGTCCTCTCCAATGAAGTCCGACTGTACATGTTCGGGTCGGACGCACGCCTCCAAGGAGAACGCATCGTACCGGTGTGTGCCCCCTGTGCGTCCCACGACCCCTCGCCGCAGTGACTTCTGGTGCGCGGCCGCTGGGGGGCGCGGCGGCCAGGCCCGAGCAAGCAGGCCGCTGCTGTCGCACGGCAAGCAGCGATCCGCACGCCGCGCGCCAAGGGGCCCCTCCTGCCCAGGGCCACCACGCCGCCATCGCCATCGCGAGACGCCAGTTTCCCTCAGCCGCGCGCAGCGTGGGGTGGGGGGGAGGGAGGAGGGCTTCTCGGAGGCACCTCTGCTCCTGAAAGGCGCGGGCCCGTGTCTGTAGATGTAAGGCCAGCGCCCTCTGAGGAGCAGCCTCCTTCTAAGAAGCCCTCCCCCCTCCCTCCACCCCCTTGTGCGCGCCGCCAGCTTTTCACCCGCTTCGACTCTGGTCGGGCCAGCCCCTGGCCCTGAGCGCGTGCGCACGCCCTCTCCGCCGGGCAGGGCAGGCGCGCACGTGCCAGAGCCCTGCAGGGCCCCCCGTGGGGCCCGACGTCCTGGGCGCCTCTGGACAAAGATCCGGACCGCAAGGTTCCCAGACCCCCTGAACTCATGAAAAAACCACGACGGGAGGCTTTTCGCTATTTTCGGCCTCCGGATCCTTATCGGGCCTCGGGACCGTCAAAGACGACTCGGGATGAAAAACCGGTCCCAGGGAATGGGTCCGGACCTCTGGGGGTCGCGTCATGAAAGAATCATGAGGTCGGGCGTCTGGGTTTCCAGACGCTGGCCCTCGGCGGCGGGCCCATCTTTTGGACCCAAGGATTCGCCAGAGAGGGCCCCAGGGCGCGAGGTCCACACGACCAGTGGGGCCGAGAGCAGCTCCAAAGCCCGGCGCATAGAAAAGACCAGGGCAGCGGAGGTCGTGGACTGGCCGGGCCTGGGTCGGCGTCGGTGGACAGCTCACGGCCTCCCAGGAGAGGGCGTTCCTGGCCATAGAGCTGTCCGCGCCCGTGTCGATCGTCTCTCACGGGGGCTGCCCAGACGGCGCAGCGGCGGCGACCCAGGGTTCACCGAAGCAGCGCCCAACCGCACCGTGCCCGGGGCGTCCCCCCCTCCCCGCCCACTCCTGGCAGGGCCCTACCAGGAAGCCAGTGGGCACACGAGCGGCCCGATGTCCTTCCAGCGCTGAGGCTGGGCCCGTCTGTGGCCGTGCAGGCTGGGCTCCCGCACGTGTGTGCAGCGCGTGGCCTCCGGATGCCAGTTCTCTCAGCCACGTAGCCGAGGAGAGGCATCGGGTCCGATTGCTCCTTGCTCTGCCCCCGCCCTCTCGCGCGGTGTGCTCGGAGGGCGAGAGGCGGCTTCTTCGCCCCACCCCCCGCCCGACCAGGCCGTGATACTCGGGCGGGCGCTGCGGGCCCGGAACCCCGCCGCGGAGCTGCATTTCGTGGAGCAGAGGAGCTTTCCCTCCTGCTCGTAGTGTCCTCCTCGCTCTCTCCGTTCCTCCTGCCCCTCCTCCTGCCCCTCCTCCTCCTCCTCCTCCTCCTCCTCCTCCTCCTCCTCCTCCTCCTCCTCCCTGTGATGCAACTCCTAGGAGATGAAGCTCAGAGTTGACGTAAGTATGTCCCTGGTCGAAAACGAGTTGAACATTGCGGAATCCTGTTAGATCTGGCTCAATCCCGCTGGATCCGACTCAATATTGTTCAAACTCCGGCTGAATTCAAGGGCCTGACCATTCCAGATTAATCTTGTTCAATGGATTGATTGTTCGGCCCAAGTGGTATTCATCGCGCTTGCAAAGAGCTCCCAGAAGATGCCTTCCAATCATGATTCCAGTCATCCTGGGCACTTGCCACTGTGGTCTCTGGTGCTCCATGATGCACGAGAAAGAAAACTGCTTAGACAGTCGCTGGAGCCCCATCCCTGGCGCGCGGAGGTGCCGCAGGGGCGGCGCCTCTGGCGCCGCCAGGGGGTCGCAGCGCCAGCTCGAGAAATCCACGCGAACCGCCGAAAGTGCATGCTTTTGCCATGCTAATGAACCTTCAGATGCGCCTCCCACGGGCGGCCAGAGCAAGTCTTGTTGGAAGCTCTTTCGAATAGACGTAATCTACTTGTTTCGCATGTTCGGTATAGGCTGCTCAAGGCAGTTGACGGCCACAAATGGCTGCTAAAGGCAGCTAACCAATTTTTCAAGGCCATTACAGGCTGCTAATGGTGCGCTGCACGCCGCCAAAGGCTATTGGACCGAGGTGGTGTAAGTCAGAATGAGCTTCCAGAAGGAATCGCTTGATGCGGCGAACGCGTCCATCTCCGCACCCTCGCGCTCTGGATTCCAGGACGCGATCCCGCGGATACGCGCTCGCACGGATGCATTGCGCGCGGGGCATCCGCTAAAAAGCGTCCGTGTCCGCGGGGTCGCGGCCCAGGGGCTTGGCCTGCGAGGCCGCGTAATTATACGGATATGTCTTTCACCCATGACTCCTCCTGCTCCTTGCCCAGAGGCACTCGACCAAGAATTCCGTGGGTATCACCGCGGAGGGCGCGACCGTGATATTCGTGGACATCTCCCCGAACGTCGACGACGTGCCCGTTCTGCGGAGAGCAAAGCAAGTCATCGTCATTGACCACCACGCCTCGGAGGTCGAGTCCATGGAGAGGGTCCGCAGGCAGTGTCCATTTCGATCCAACCGATCCGATTCGATATCGATTTCGGCCAGCCTGGTCCGATCCGATTCCGATATCTCGACGATCCGATACGGCCCGATGCATGCGAGGCGTTGCTGTGTATCCCTGCGCAGCCGATCGGATTCGATTTCGACTCCGTGCCGATTCAGCCCGATCCGACGCACCTTCCGATTCGATATGATTTTCCGATTCGATGTTGACCGATCTGATTCAATTTTCCGATTCGACGTTGAACGATCTTGGCAGGGCGGTCCCTAGCTTGCTGGACTTCAGCGTCTGCAACGAGCGCGAGTGCGGTACCTCGCTGGCGCAGGCGTTCGTGGGGAGCGCCTTCTGCCTCGACGAGGATATCCTGCAGGCCGTGTGGCAGAGCGATGTGTTCATGCACCAGGTCCCGGAGCGGTGCGCGGACACGGTCCGCCCGATCATGGGCTGGCTCCTGAAGGACGGCCAGGGAAACACCTCGATCGAGTTGATGGAGCAGCTGGTGGACGGCAAGGCCTCGGGTCTCACCGCTTTGCGGGAGCGCCGGCAAAACGGCGGTCGCGTAATTCAATTCGTGCGCGGCAGGAGGAGGAGGAGGATGATGAGGAGGAGGAGGAGGGGGAGGAGGGGGAGGAGGAGGGAGGAGAAGAAGGAGGAGGAGGAGGAGGAGGAGGAGGAGGAGGGAGGAGGAGGGGGAGGAGGAGGGAGGAGGAGGGGAGGGAGGAGGAGGGAGGGGGGGAGGAGGAGGAGGGAGGAGGAGGGGGAGGAGGAGGGAGGAGGAGGGGGAGGAGGAGGGAGGAGGAGGAGGAGGAGGAGGAGGAGGAGGAGGAGGAGGAGGAGGAGGAGGAGGAGGACAACCAACCAGCGGGTGTATGATACGAATTCCGCCTGGAACGTATCGGGCGGGGCTAGGACCTGGATGCATCGCTGCAGAGCGTTCCGGAACGCTCTTCGAGCGCTCTGGAGCAGCCGCGGCGCCCGATGCATCTTCCAGACCCACCAGATCTCAGAGGTCCCCGAATCGAAGGAGAAGATGCTGCAGAAACAGAACTTCTCGGAGCTCCGCGCAGATTGCTTGGATCCGCGCTGGGCCCCGCTGGCGGCGCCTCCAGGGCCCCGCCTGGCGCGAATCGCGCGCCAGGGAGGGATTCCAGCGCCGATCCAAGAAGTCCGCGCGGACCTCAGAGAAGTATGTTGATGCATGTGTCTGTTCCTTTACCGATGTGTCCAGATCCGAAGTTGTTCCGGTCTTGGCTTCGTCTTACAGGCCAGCTGCCTGGAACGTGGGGCGCGTCTCGTTCAGGAGGTCGAGGAACACACCGAGGACATCTTCGGACAGCGGCGCTTGGTGCACGAGAGCCCGGAGCCTTATTTACAGATACATGAATGTATGTATGCATATATATATATATATATATATATATGTGTGTGTGTGTGTGTTTCCATCCATCTTTCCATCCGTTCGTCCGCACGTCCATATATATATATATATATATATATTCATACGCACCTCTCCGAGGGAGTAGAGCTCAGAGGCGATTAATGCGCACGTCGTCCGCGATTGTTCTGGCCGTTTCGCTCGGGACATCCTCGAAATTCTGAAAATCGGTGGCACCCCTCACGCAGATCGTGACGTCAGGGTCCAAAAACACATGGGAATTTCAATATTTTAACATAAAACCTTCGAAAACACATGGTAATTTCAATAATTTTGACCCCGATTCTCAGAGAATGGCGGTTTCGCCTGAGACATCCTCCCAAAATCGAGCCCCAGACCCCTCCTCGGAGCCTCCTGGGGGCCTCCTGGAACCTCCTGGGGCCTCCTGGGGCTTTCTGGACCTTCTGGTACCCCAGACCCCGCCTCGGAGCCTCCTGGAGTTCTCCTGGGCCTGCTGAGGCCGCCTGGGGCCTCCTGGGGCCTCCTGGGGCTTCAGAACTACATGCACACACAGAGACACAAATCACGCCCAACACATCACACGCTAGACAAACATAACATACACACACACACACACCGACAACACACAAAAAGCACGCACCACACAAAGCACACATCACACACACACAACACTCACAATCCTGGGGCCTCCTGGAGCCTCTTCTGGTATCCAAGTCGGGCCTCCTGAGGCTTCCTGGGGGGCCCTGGTACACACATCGCAAGGTGTGGCAACCCCACTTGCGCTCGAGTGCGACTTCGCTGTTGCATGTCACTCCTGCTTCAAACGCCCCATTCAGCTTGTTGTATGAGCCTGGGCACACACGTGCCACTTGTAGAAGTGCAGATTTCGACAGCAACATACGTGCGTGCATACATGCATACATGCATACATGTATACACCTATGTATATGCCGGTACACCTATCTATCTGCATACACACATATCATTATATAGCGACCACTGGACATGTATACGTATATCTAGTTATGCATGTACGTATAAGGCTATCCACCCGTGCATACAATCATATTTCCATACACGTATGCATATCGATATACGCATATGCATGATTGCACACATGCAAACAGACACACACGTCCATACATCCATGCATGCATGCAAACATACGTACATACATATGAACACAGATACGCATCCATGCATGCATGTATGCATGCACGCACACAGACATACATACATACATGCAACCATGCATGCATACAACCATACAAACATGCACATGCGTACACATGTATGTATATATACATGTTTATGCATACGCATGCATACGTGCATAAAATCCGGAGTTTTGAATTGATATTAATGTGTGTTGAGTCGTCACGCACATGTTTCCCTTCTCCTAAGGTTGTTCTGGGTCAAAGTCCCATGACTCAGTTCAGAGACCGAAATGGTGTTGGCCCACACGTGGCAGGGGCCGCCTCCATATCTGGTTCTATGTCCCCTCCTGGACACGACTCCGATGACGATGGCCCCAGCCGCTGGTGGGCGTTGGCCTGGCCTGGGCAGTGGCCTCGCGCTGGCGTCGCTGCTGTGGCGCGGAGCGTGGACGGCAGACACGGGCCGCGCAGCAGTGACGAAGGCGCTCTGGGGGCTGCTGGTCGTCGTGACGACGCTGGTGGCCTCGTGGGGGCGGGCGGGGTTCGGCTTCGGGTGCGGCTCGTCGGCCGACAGCGAGGAACTCGCCGAGCTGCGGCGCCGCCTCGCCGCGCTGGAGGTGACCTCGCCCGCCGAGCCCGCAGCCCCAGGCTGAGAGGCGCCTGAGGAATCGCCGCCCGCTGGGCTCCCGCCGCTGCCGCCCCCCGCGGCCGCGCCCTTCGCATTCGGAGCTGCGAGCCCAGTGCCAGCGGCGGCCGCGGGACCGCCCCGTGTGGGAGATGGCGGCGCGGGGGCGCTGGCGGCGTTCGCCCACGGCGCGGAGGTGGGAGGCCCCATCTCGGCGGGGATGAGCCCCAGCGGGCCCGCGGCCGCGTCCCCCCAGCTGGGCGAAGGCGTGGCCCCCGCGAGCTGGGCGCAGGGCCCGCCCGTCCCCGTGCTGAGTTCGACGGCGGCTCGCGCCCAGAGGCTGAGGACGTAGCTGGAACCCCTCGCCAACGCGATGCCGCCCGACCCGTGGTGGGGCATGCGCTTCTGGAGGAAGGTCGCGGAGCTCGAGGCGTCGGGCGCGCTGGACGCCGGCATCCTCGCCGCGCTGCAGGCCCGAGGGTACGTCGGTGCGGGCACTGCTGGAGCTCCCGACCCGGAGGCCCTCCGCGCGCTGCAGAGGGGCTTCGAGTCGGCCTCGCCGGGAGGCTTCACGGGGCGCTTCACCCAGGGAGACCAGGGGTCCAGCAACAATGTGGACGCCTGGGCACACAGCCTCCCCCCCCGGACTTCCGCCGGGCGGCGGGCGAGATCTACCGCAACATCGGGAGCGCTGGCACGACGTTGGTACGGCACTGGCTGCAGGAGTACCACACAGGGTCCAAGCACGGCGCCGAGTGGCAGCACCTGTGGGCGATGGCGACCAAGGTGGACTTCGCGGTGGGCGGCATCGCCTCGAACCAGGAGTTGTACCACCGCCTGAACACCGACGACCAGCTCGAGCTGTCCCTGGGACTCCTGTCCGCACACGTCTATGAGCAGCGGGACGTCGGAGAGGCTCGCTTGAGGGCGGTGGCAGCGCTTGGGAGCGCGATAGACATAGCCCCAAATTGGATGATATCAGAAACCACGCTGCACTCCAAGCTAGAACATCAGCGAGAAGAGCGAGTGCATGCTGAGCTGCGTCGACGCGGCAAGGGAGGACACAGTGACCCGTCCAAGAGCGACCCGAAGGGCCGCTCGAAAGGGCGGGGGCAAGTCCCCGTGACCTCCCGACCCTGGGGGGCGATCTTGGCAGCCGGGGATCGCTCCATCTCAACCAGTTCGACGGCTGCTTGTACCAGGAGAAGGATATACCCAGGAAAGTACGTCGGCGGCCGACCTCCCCTCGCGCAGACTCCCACCTCCCTCGTCACCAGCCTTGTCTCGCAAGGACGCGTTCCCGAGCTTTGAGGAGGCGGTGAATGCTTTCGAGACACGAGCCAACTGCCTTCCGATCCCGACCTTGCCGATGCCGCCGGTTTCAGCGTCAACATCGGGTCGCTTTCGGCAGCGAGAGACTCATCGACGGTTCATCTGCAGGAAGGCGAACCAGATCATGGAGGGCATCAATACCGCGTATGCCAACTGATCGAGACGACCAGCTTGCGGCGGAGCGCCCGCGGTGGATCGGCGAGGAGATGGCTCAGCCACGCTGGCTCAGCTGCGGGCGGCGAGGCTCGCTCAGGAGTCAGCTCATTCTCGCCGGCCCGAGAGGGTGACGGGCCCGCGGGCGCTACGGGATCTTCTCAAGCTGAGCGAGGCCTCGTACGGGGGGGCGAAGAAGATGGCGGTGCGCGCGACCTTCGAGGCGGACCGCGTCGATGAGGTCGTCACCGCCAAAGTGGCCAACATGATGGACGCCCCCTCCCCGGAGGAGGCCGTCTTCTACAAAGACGAGGAAATCATCAATGATGATAAGGGTCTGAGAGCGAGTGGGTCCACCACCTCCGCCGCGCGGACCTACCTCGTCATCTCTGGGTGTTCCGCGCCCGCGATCGGACTCGAGCTGTGAATGGCGTAAGCGCGGCGCGCAAGAAGGACCAGGCGAAGTTGGGGGAACTGATGATGGCCGCGCTCGCGAACTGCGCGCGGCGCGACGTGCGCGGCCGGGAGGGCCACGGCCTGGGGGGGGGGCGCTCCCGGCCTATTAAGGGGCCCGTATTCCGCCCTCTACACTGCGAGGTGCTGACCGTGGGTGGCCACGCCCGCTGTCTTGGCATCGCTGGCGCGCAGTCTCCTGCCCATCGAGCTGGCGTCTGTGGCGGACTTCGAGCCCATCTTCCCGCGCTGCGCTCGGCTGCCCATGGGGTCCTCGCATTCGGTGCGCATCACGATGTCGATAAACGTGCGCGCGCTGGGACGTGCGCTGGTGAACAGCTCGAGGCCGACTGCCCCGGGGCCGCCGCCCGCGCGGGAGCTGGGCGAGACAGCGGACGTTCCAGATCATGAATGCCCATGGGTCGACCAGCAACGTCGGAAGCGCGATGCGGGGCCTCTGGGCGCGGGCCTTTCAGTGGAGGAGTTTGCTGTGCACGTGCGCATGCTGAAGCAGCTCGGCGAGAGGGAGATGACTGTCTCGCATGTCTTCGCCGGCCAGCGGCGCAGGCACGGCGCGGAGCTGTGCGCGGGGCAGCTCGGCGACCAGCGCGGGCTCAAGGTCTTCGGCTTCAGCGCGGACCTCGCCTTCGACCAGAGGTGGGACTTCAGCGACCCGCGCGCGGTCGCCCCGATGCTGCAGCTGGCCCCCCAGGGGTGCATCGACGTGGCCCTGGGCGGGCCGCCGCGCGCGACCTGGGGCCGCGCGCGATTATTCCGCCTTGGTGAGCCGCCGCCGCTCCGCTCGAGGCGGGAGCTGCTGGGCCTGGCGACCCTGGCGGCGGGGCAGCTGGAAAGGGTGACTGAGGCCAACGCGCCCATGTTTAATTTTCTCGGACTGCATGGGGCTGCGCGTGTTCGGGGAGGGGCTTATCTGGTCGAGCACCCGGCTGACCCTGGGTGCGACCCCTGCCCCTCGATCTTGGCCATAGACGGAGTCCTGGGCCAAGCTGAGCGTGCGGGGGTCTTTGTGATCGAGTTAGACCAGTGTATGTTTGGGGTGCGCCCCAGAAGCCTACAGTTCCCCTCTCCAATTTCCATGGGATTGCTGAGGGCGACATCAGGTATGATGGGCGCCACGAGCATGGCAAATCAGACGGTCAGCTCCCCGATCAGGCGCATGCGATTCGCAGGCCTCAGACGTATCCTCCGGGCTTCTGCCGCTTCGTCGCACTGCGCGTGGTGCGAACCTTGGTGGCCATGGGTGAGGATGGTCGTGGGCCTGGGGGGTGGAGACGCAAAGCCTCGCGCAGCCTGAAGACATCAACCTGGGGCTCGTCGTATGGGGGGGCCCAGGCGGGGCCCTGCGCGTGCTCGATGAGCTGTGCGGCCGAGGAGGCCGAGTGCGTCAACGTGAACGGGGCGCAGCTGGGTGCGCGCAAGTGGACGATGGCATCTGCGTGGTGGCCCATGCGAGGGGCCGACGTCCATCTCCGCCTGCCTGCGACGAGGTGATGACCCGCCTCGCCACGACCTGGGAGGAGGTGGGCGTCGTGTCCCCGGAGAGGATTGAGGCCGACGCCTCCACCGAGGTCGTGGGCTACCAGTTCCTGGCTGACCCGCCCACGCCCTCGGTGGACCTCACGCGCGGCGCCCTGCTGCAGGACAGCCGCGGCTGGCTGCTGGAGGTGGCGTGGGTGGACATCGAGCAGTTGAAGGGGGGTCGTGGGCGCGTGGATCTGGGGGGCGATTCTGGCGCGCATCATGCAGTGGGGGGCGCCCGCCATGAGGGCCGACCTGGGCGCGCCCGCTGCCCCCCCAGTCTTCTCCACCGACGCCGAGGGCGCCAACGTCTTCGACCGCGGGGGCTACGGCGTGGTGGCCAAGGAGGCGGGCGTCGACCTGGCCGAGGAGCTGATCCTGGCGGGGGCTCGCCCCGGGCATGCCGTGGCTCGCTTGGACGGGCGCGTCTCGCACCTGCATCGCCGGGATCGGGAGATCGTTGGCCGCATTCCAGTGTCCAAGGTGCCTCGCCGCCTGCTGGAGGCTGAGGCCTCGTCCTGGACCGCGCTGGACGCTGCGAGGTGGGAGCGCCCCGACCACGTCGCGCTCGGGGAGGGCCGGGCTGCTCGGCGGGCGCTCACCTGGCCGCCTGTCCTGGCCCCCACGGGCACCTCGTCGCCAATTTGGAGGACCACGAGACCCTTTCGGCCGCCATGGCCAGGGGTCGCTCAGCAGAGCCAGCGTTTAACCAACTTCTACGGCGGCGAGCAGGCTTGCGTCTCGCCGCTGGCATCGGCTACCTCCCACCGTGGGTGAACACCAAGCACCGAGCAGCAGACTGGTATCACGACGTCGCGGTCGCTGGTAAGTCGAGCGTCTAAGCCGCGTCGGCTCGACCGACATCAGGCCGCCCGCGCCCGGCCGCAGACCCTCGACAACTACCGATCGGCCGCGAGGCTGCTGACTGATTGGGCAGCTCTGCGCAGCCTGGACCCACACGGCGAAGATCAGTGGGACGACCTACTGGTGGAGTTCAAGAGCGACAACGAGGAGGTGCTGACGCCGGCGAAGTTCGGACAGGCACTTGCCTCTGTCGAGTTCTTCTTCCCACGTTTCCGCGGGGAGCTGGCCTGGTCTCACGGTGTCTTTCGAGGCTGGGATGCTTCCGCGCCCCGTCGCCGCGCGGTGCCTCTGGGCAAAGTACCAGGCGCGCTACTGGCCTGCCATCTGGCATCGTGGGGCCACGGGCAGCCAGGGCTGGGCCTCGCGACGCAATGTGCGACCAGACTGCGGACGTCAGAAAGGTTGGGACTCCGACCTGGACATCTGTCTGTCCCGCAGCAGAGGGGCGCTTGCACGTCCGCCGCCCCCCTCATCATCGCTCTTGGGACGAAGAGAGGCACGAAGTCAAAGAGACCCCAGATCGTGATGTTGAGTTCCAGGGGTGGTGCGAGTTCTTGAGATTGCTGTGGCCTCGACCCCGCCTGGCAGCCTGCTCTTCCCGCGCCCCCCCCCGCTACCGCACCTTGCTCAAGCGGGCCGAGCAGGCCCTGGGGGTGGGCGCGGGCCGGGGCCGCGCCGCCCCGGAGCCAGCTGGGCCACCGACGCGCGCGCGGAGGGGATCAGTTTCATTGAGATCCGCGAGGGCGGCAGGGGGGTGAGCGACAGCAGCCTGCGCGTCTACTTGGACGTCGTGGGGGCCAACAACGCGCTGCTACAGCTACCGCAGGTGGGGCTCGCCGAGCAGCTACGGTGGGCTTCGAGGCGCCGGGCGCGCTCCTTCCCGACGGGCACGGCGCGCCCCAGCCGTGCCACCTATGGGGGTCATGCAGGTCAACGGGGTTTGGGCCCCGGCTGCTGCTACCAGGGCGGCCTCTCCAGCACCGTCCTTGGCGTCGGCGGGGAGCTCCGGGGACAAGGTGTCGCCGGCGCCCTCGGCCCACGCCCCGCTCTTCCTGACCCCGCCAGGGTCAGCTGGCGCGCTGACGCCGCCGAACGGAGGGGCAGACCCTCGGGTGCTGGAGCTGGCGAAGCGCCTGCTGGATCAGCAGGCCCCGCCGGCGGCCGTGGCCAGGAGCACCGCCGAGGTCAGGGGTTCCGTGGCGCGGCTGTGGGGCACGAGCCGCTCGCGCGCGCGCTACTGGTGTGGGCGCCGCGGCGGGCTGCTGGCGCAGTGGACCCTCTTCCTCGGCTTGTGCATGGCGGCGCCAGCGTGGCTGGCCCCTTCGCGCGCGCGGAGCGTGGGAGCGGTCGCGCACCTGTCCGAGGACCTGGCGGACGCCACAGGAGCCATCGCGCAGGTGGCCAAGAACGACACTCTTCTCGTCTCGGATGTGGCGGTCTCGCTGACGAATGGCCCCGTGCCCCTCGTGCAGGAGGCCTGGTCAGGCGTCGACCTGGCAGACTCGCTGGCGAATGCTTCGGGGGCCCACTTCCTGGTGCTGAGGGGCGTCACCAGGAAGGCCTTCTAGATGATCGACCTCCACATCGCCCTCGAGCCGCGACCACCTGAGCACGGCGACCTCCTGTGGAATGCGATCGCGGGCGTGGGCCAGCTCTTCCCTCATCTTACAGTTTCTGAGCATCGTTTCCGCACCGCCTCCTACTTCGATTTCTTCGAGTACGAAGTGCGCCTGTTTCGGAGTGGCTATGTCGGTGTCCGTTTTCTGTGGGCCAGAATGTCCTTCGGAGCGGTCTGGGCCAAACCGCATTGGGAGTTTGTCGGCGCCGACGTGACCCCAGAGCTCGAGGCCATCGGCGGCCTCACCCGGGAGTCCATCTCCGCGGATCTGGACCTCGGTTGGCTTCGTGAACCGTTCTCCGATGCAGAGGACGAGTTGCAAGTGTCCCCGCCCGCCTGGATTAGGTTGGTACAGCTTTTGCGCCAACAGGTCCGTTGGGCACTGATCGCAAGCGGGATTCGGTGATCGTGGGGGGGACAGTCTTTCGCGTCGGTTTCTTTGTCATTTAAATGCGGCTTTTGGAGCTATGGATCACAAGTGGGATTCGGAGACACAGGCCACAATCACCGTAACTGGTCCGTTTTGTTCATGTTAAGTGGGGTCCGACCGCTCACAAAGGGTCGGAATCAAGCGATTGATTTTCGAGTGAAGCATCAAATGGATATCGCATCGGGTCGTCTTGGAGAGGAACGGCCCTAATCGTCGCATCACGTTTGTCGAGTGAAGATGCAGGGGGGTGGCAAGACTAACAAGGCGCACTTTCTCCGATATCGGGACATTATGAATGAATGAGTTTCGAAAACATACTACTGTGTTTGAGCCGTCACGCACATGCTTCCCCTCATTAGTTTCTTCTGGGCCCCCCAAAGTGCTGTCTTGATCGAAACTATGACAGGATTTGTCCACGAAGCCTTCCTCCCTAGATGCGGGAGTGGTACCTGGGGTACTCACCCAATGAGATGATTGCCAGTGCCTGCTGCTGTGGGGACAGGCCACCATCACTGCAGCAGGTCCGTTTTGTTCATGCGAAGTGGGGTCCGACCGCTCAGAAACGGTCGGAATCAAGCGACGAATTCTAGCAAGAAGCTTCACATGGATATCGCATCGGGTCGTCTTGGAAAGGAACGGCCCTGATCGTCGCATCGCGTCTGTCGAGTTGTGTCGCATGGAGGGTGGGAAGGCTAACAAGGCGCCCTTGCTCATATATCGCAACACTATACACATATATGCATGCATGCATGCACTCGCACACGTACATACACGTATACATGCATACAAACATACATCCACACATGCATACATACATACATACATACATACACATATATATATATATACATACATTCATACATACATACATGTATACATGTATACATACATACATACATACATACATACATACATACATACATACATCATACATGCATACATAACTACATACATCCATACACACATATACATGCATACATACACACATCTATTCATACATACATACACACATGCACCCATGCATACATACATACATACAGGCATATTATCACATGGACCTACAGTCATACGCACATATGGGCGCGCGAACATAACCATACACATCTGTACACACATACATACATACATACATACATACATACGTATATACATACATACATACATACATACATACATACATACGTACATACATACATACATACATACATACATACATACATACATGCATACCTACATA